GTATGACGAAATGAAGGCGCCTTGCGCACCTGGCCGTTGTTGCCAATTTCGACTCAATGCACCGACCAGCTATTATGAAATCGGAACAGTAGGTTAGTGGATGTTTGCCGCGATGCTGGCGACACGGGTTTAAAGCAAACTGGGCAGGATGGTAGTTGGTAGCCCTGCCCACTGATTCTACAATTGTACCTACTGGCTCGATTTCGGTATCTGTGATAACGTTCTCATTATGTCTGGGGGGTGCACGCACAGAGGCCCTGTCAGGATGACTTTCTTCTTCACTTTAACCGCCCCGAGAACGAGGCGCTGCAAGACTGTCTATATAGACTCATTGTATTGCACCCCCACACGGAAATCTTTAGTAAAAGGCGAAAGATTTATCCTAAACGGATTATGATTCATCATGCTTCCCATTATGCTTCTAGTTGCATGTGCGCAAAGTATTACCTGATTCAGATCAATTGCATAGGTACTAGCCTAGGCGGATTGGCGTGGGTCTCCGTGTCGTCGGTTTGCCTCCATCCTTGGGTCTTTTTACTCCGGACCTCCAGTAGAGTCCGGTGCGATCGTGTACGAAAGGACAACCGACGCTCCGTTTTGGTGTCTACCGATACTCCATCCACTGCATCAGTCGTATTGACAGAGTGTTGCCCTCCACCGCCCGCCTTTACGAACAGCGCGGTTGTATTTGGTCGCAGGGGTTTGACTGAAAACTGTGACGCCTTGTAAACACCGCCATGGCCAGTTAGCGATCCTTTCCTGCACTTCCAGTTTAAGGCACTACGGCAACTCTCCCCGGGTGCTTCGACATTGCTTGGTTTGAACTGGCCGCACTTCACCTACCACATCGCGCACTTACTACCTCTTGGGTTCAGACTGCAACAGCAAGGCGTCTCATACGTCAGTCAGACCCGAAGTGTTCACCTTCCTCGCATTTTTCACCTTATTTAAATTAGGTTTCCACTTTATCAGGATCGTCAAATCCAGGCATTCCCTACAAGCGCCATTTACGCCTCCACTCAGTTGCCCCACCCGTATAGCCCCTAGTACCACCGGTCCCTTCAGTCAGGTAGCTGGGAGTTTTCGATACCGGGAGGGCTACCAACTACCATCTAACCGCAAACTGACTCGATATCAAAGGTTTGGTGGTGCCTAGTGGTGTCTAGGTTCTGGGCGTCTTTTGCGAGAGACGGTATGAGTCGCCCGAAACGATGCCAGAATCTTTGCTAAGTTAGAGGATGTTGCAAGTCATAATGCTTGCTGTTTAAAAACAGCGAGGGAAACAGGGCTGACTCCTGATTTTCCATCACAGGAGCTCTTTTAGAGTGCTGGGAAACCGAGAAAGCGTCCAGTTAAATTTGAAATAATCGACAGTAATTCACATAAACATGCCCTCATTTGGATTAGGTGAACGGTTGTTAAGTATGCCTAATCAGTCAACATTTTAAGACCTTGGGGTTCCACGAGTCCGTAGGAATCCGTGGTTGATAAGTGACTACGCAGTACGCCCGATCATCTGAGGAGATGCATTTATTGCACGAAGAAGAACAACTGCCACTAAAAAGGCTACAGTTTAACGGAGGGTGGCACACGTGGCAGTTTGTAGAATTATAACAAACTCTGTTCGGGTAGGGGTGCCATGCCGGCTATCTGGATTCGCGTCTGATGGGAGAATTAGAGACTTCCCTGATATTTCGTGACATGAAAGAAACGAGCGCTACCTCAAGACATTGACACGGAGTTTGGGTTACGTGGGATGCTGTCAAAAATGGAGGAAGCGGCATGTTCGGATATTAGGTTCGACTGAGTCGAGTGAAAACCATCAGTACTGTTTGCTGGGCCTCAGACCACATTTTACTAACGATGATCTACAGCCGCAACGCTAGTAGGGACGCAATCATGGCGTTCAGAAAAGCGAGTCAACAGACCGTGAACCCTCAGACGAATGATTAAGATGGTGAGTACGATGAGGAAAGTCCCACCCGACCACCTCATTCTTTGTCCTAATTAAAAGGACCTATGGGATCAGACAGATAATATTAAAGAAAAGCACAAACTGCAGATGTGGCAGTCTCACCTTGGGATACAGAAGACCCATTTGTCAGAAATGCTTGTAGTCCTTCGGTTTTATTTGATTCAGGAGCTAAAAGAGTTAAGTCAGTAATTGTAATGGGCGATGCAAATGGCGTGTGCACCAACGGTATGCGTCACAACAAACGAAAACGCTTACACAATCACAGAATTCATCGTTTTGTCCAGCACAATGGGTGTGACGACAAAGTGCGGAGCGTGCCTTTTGTACAGAATACAGCCTACCAAAGCAATCTAAAGTATCGGATTGCGGGCCCTAGCATGCGATTTTTTCAAATGCTAACGCACTCCGCGGCCGATACAAACGGAGCTTTAACCTTGAGCGAAGGACGAATAAAAAGGAGGACGGTGGCGATCGGGTACATACAATAGTAGTGGGGTGCTCACCGATCGCCCTAAGGAACTCACTCGTCCCGTTGTACCTTGGGGCTATATAACACCTACCTAGATAAAATAAGAATGCACATTTTTGAAAAAACCGCCCAAGGGATTAAACACCTTATCCTTATCAAGAGGTATTTATTGATAATCGTAATTACATTGAACCATAACAGTCCATCTGACTTGCGTAAATTGTTTGGAAGTGTATTCTACGACATTTCCGACAGCTATCCTTCTTTGGCGTTCACGTCACGCGCACCCTCAGTGGCGCACTTTGCACAGAGAAGCACCGAGGGTGATTAACAAGATCCGGATCTGAAGCTGCCAGAAAAATCACCAAACGGCACACAAGCTTAGTCGTGTTATAAATCCCGACCAGATGGCAGAAGGCAGTGCAGCGAGGGAGGAAACGGATCTCGGCAAGTCTGCTCGACGAAGTCGTGACGAACGGCTACCCCCGCGGAACTTCCCCATTCGGTATCTCTAGATGCTCCTAAGAGAACAAGCATATGTAAGCCAGAAACGATTTGACACTTTCTACGGGTGTTTTGGCAGATTTTAGACTAATACATTTTGACCCAACAGTGAAAACCTCGACGACCTCGGTGCGATTCGAACCCATGACAGCAAGGGGACGGCTTGAGTAAAACCGACGCTCAAGCCACCTGAGCTACGAGGCTCCTATCGGAAGCCGTGACTTCAACCACATCTGGTTCAAGCTATCCGCCCAGCCAGGCGCAACGTACGGAATCTACCAATTCTGATACAATAAGATAACTGACCAAGCAAGATTTCATAAGCAATCAATCTAGAATCAATCAGATTATTAACAGGCTCATTTGACTCAAATACGATCAAATTCACGGCTCGCGATGGGGACCTCGTGGCTTAGTTGGTAAGAGCGTTAGCTGAACTCAAGGCTTATCCTCGCTGTAATGCATTCGAATTCCACCGAGCCGTCTACTTCTTCACAATTAGGACTAATGAGTTTAATAATTTTTATTGCCTACTCCGAACTTAATGGCGCCTCCTGGAGTACTTTTCACCATACAGATCCACGGCAAGCTACTGGGTGTGGTGACATAAAATGTGCCGCCCCCGCCCCCCTGCCAGTTCAGTGTTTGTAGAGCGTGCTGCTCAACCCCTCGGCTTAACGATGCCGATCGATATTCTGCTCTTCACCGATTGGCCACAACCAGATTGGCTCAAGCGCAAACTCAGGTCTCACGCTGACAGAACAACAAGATCTGAGTCTCAGTGTAGTGGATCGATTGCCTCCCCGTTACATGTTCCCGGTCAGGGAATAGGAGTTTCCTACACATTCTGCTCACCTGAATTTAGATTTGGTAAACTCGTTGTCGACCACCACACTTCACCGAAACCTCTCTAAAAATTCTTCAGAGGATATGAGGTTAGGCAAACGAAGGCTTTAAGGCACTAGGTATATTTTCGTAAAGACATGAGAATAGGAATTCCCGCATTATACAGGCCTCCTTAAACTACATTTCAGGAAGGGTGCCTGTTATCGTGTCCTAACCCAAAAATCAACCTTACATTTAGCGCAAACCCTAACCTTAAATCAAATCTTAACACTACCTTAACCCCAAACCTAATCTGATTCCTAAAGCAAATCTTCCCGGAATTCAGCGCAAGCCAACCTATACTGAATGTCCCCATATCTGTGTCTTACCGAATTTTATCTGAAACTTCGGTCCGTTTCTATCGCGGTGATTCTGAGCTAACAGCATTTGGAGTTAACATTTAGGCTGAGTCTCATCGCAAGGAGTCCCAACTTGAAGAAAGAGCAAGTCTCAGAGGTCAGAGCAAAGGTGAATGATCTCGCCCAGTTGAACGTCGCAAGTTCCGGCGGCTTCAAGTTTGTGACCCTCAGCGATCCCCGCATCGCACTTGCGTGTGGTCTCCCAAGGGGGCTTAAAGTCTGTGCGTCACTGAAAATTAATGTACTATCCATAGGATTTGAGCCATGGGACGCAATCTAGAGCCCTAGCTCTTCTGAGACTGTCCTTGATGATATGTTCCAGTGAGAATCCGAAACGTCGTCCAATAAACTTCTTGTTTCAGCGATCGATTCTTCCTCTTCTTCTTCTTCTTCATCTGAATAGTGGATATTTTTAATCCAAGCCAGCAAGTCAACTGACCAGAGGGCTCAAGGTTAGGGCGTTAGACTTAGCGCTCAATAACCGCAAAATCCGAGTTCGAATCCCAGGTTATCCGAATTTGGCTTGAGTATAATTAACTGATGACGGCCGGTAGGCCAAAACTGATTATCCCAGTCTTCCTTGCCTCTGTCACTACTTGTCCCCGTGAAATTACCTCCACGAATTGTTAACCTGGAGAATCCGTTCCGACCAGAGACCAGGACGGCCTCCTACGCTTCTGCTTAGCCTAGCAGCGAAAAGGCAGTCACTTCCTTATGCAGTAGATATGCTGTCTCATGAAATATTAAACAAAACTCTAAAATGCGTTTTAAATATGAAAAGATAACTTCAGTAAGGTTGTCATGTTACTTATCGTGTCGTCCGAGAGGTATAGTTGGTCCGGAGGTGTTCAATAAGTCCAATTCGTGCCCGGAATGTCCGTTGACATCGAGGATACGTAGGGAGCGGTTGTGCGGCGGCGTTGCTGACTGGGCACAGCTGTGATTTGCGTGCTACGGTTTTCACTTTGGCGGCGGCGATGCGGTTGGCTTCGCAGATAGCAGCACCTGTCTTCACTGTCTTCGTCCCGGTCAGTGGATCGCGGGCGGCGTCTTCCCAGGTTATCGGGTTAATTTGCAGACACTTCGGGGAGGACTTCAGGGTATCCTTGTATATTCGAATTTCACCTCCTTGGCGGCGAGAACCCGTCGCGACGTCTCCGTAAAAGAGTCGTTTGGGTAGTCGCTCGTTGTCCATGCGCACCAGGTGGCCACTCCAGCGCAGCTGCATTTGTCTCAGCATGGTGTAGATACTTAGGATTCCCATCCTTCCAGCACATCAGTGTCGGGAATTCGATCCTGCCAGTTCAGCCTCAGGATGCGACGAAGACAACTGAGTTGGAAGTGGTTCAGTCGACGTGCCTGCTTCGTGTACACTGTCTATGTCTCCGCTCCGTTAAGTAGCGTCGGCAGGATGACAGCCTTGTACATCTTCAGGTTCGTGCTCAGTTGAAGACCGTGGCGATTCAAAACTGTGCTTTGGAGGCGACCAAAGGCTTGACTGGCTTTCGAGATCCTGTTTGCGACTTCGTCATCGATTTTTGTGTTGCGGGAGAGGGTACTGCCCAGGTACGGGAAGTTCTCCACCACTTGCAGTTGGGCTCCGTTCACGCTGATTTGCGGCGCGTTGGGAGAAGTGGCTGTGTTGGGTGGCGGTTGATGTATAACTATCGTCTTCTGCGTGTTGATGACCAGCCCAAAGTTCTTGCAGGCGGCGGAGAACAGGCCCATGCTCCGTTGCATCTCCTCTTCCGAGGTGGTGCTCAGGGCGCTGTCGTCGGCAAAGAGAAGTTCGTGAACGGTGGTTGTGGATACGCGCGATTGGAAGTGCATCCGCCGTTGATTCAGAAGGTAACCATTCGTCCTGTATGCGATGCGGATCCCGGGGCGTTCATCACGGTAGGCGTCCATCAGCATGGCGAGAACATAAGACTGAAGAGAGTAGGCGCCAGTACACATCCATGCTTCACTCCGTTGGTCACTGCGAATGCCTCTGAGACAGGCGGCTTCTTACGACACTTGTCGGACGTCGGCAGAGAGGATTCAAGACAGACAAAGTATTCGACAGTGTCGAGCTATGCAGGCGGAAATAGAAAATTTATGCGGTGTAGAAAGAAATATGGAGCAGTTTATTGGTTTTCACAACGTTCTGTGCTAGTGCAGACTGAAGGTAATGGTTGGCTTTGTATTGAGAAGCTGATTACGCATCCTCGAATTACTCTTCGAAGCCGGGCGATGTGGTCAGACTAATTAATGCCAGAGTCAAAATTATTTCGCCTTACCTGAATGCAATCGTATTTGAGGGTTGTTACATTCGGAGACATATTATCATGATATGACATTTCTCAGGGAGAGCCATTGCCAAATTTATATGGCAACGCATGTATGTTGAAGCGGATTCCGTGCAGAGAACTCCTGCGTTAACCCATTTAAAAAAATAAATCTGACGTACTGTTGTTTCTCATCCGCAAGCACGAATCCGCTCTTTAACACTACGGCTGATGACCATTTCAGATAATTTTATGAAAACCAATGACATGTTGAAAAAACCGATAGTGTATCCGTTGACAATAAAATGACTATGAAACACCCACTGTTTATATAATTGGCTTGAAATTCCGTTCGTACGCCGACGGATGGAGTTTCGAAGCATGTGATCCTTGTTCATGTGCGGCCCGTCTGATAGATGACTGCCAAAAGCCGTAGTTCATGTCTTCTAGGAGAAGGGTCAGCGAATAGGGAATCCGTGAAAGGAGCTATTTTGTTTACGCACAGGTCGACATTTCTTAAAGCACCGAATACACACTCGAATTATTGAGCGCAACCCCGCACACGTTGCCCTCCAATTTTACAAACACCCTTTTGCCGTTTGGTCTGATTGCGGGTCGTTGATAGCGGCTTGCAGAAAGCACAATTCCAAAATGCCTTGTGGTACTTCACGAATCTTCTAACTTGTGCTCAGTAGAGACGTTATTTACGCGGATAAAATAATAATAGTATTAATAACTACCTACTTATAATAAATTCAGCAACTACCATATAGCTCGCAAACAACGATTACTTCGATACTGAACACCAGTGCATTCCATTGCCCATGCTAACCAAACGCTGAATGGGTGGAAACAAGTAGACAACCCTGTTTCACTCCATTTGACATTGTAAATGCTTCGAAGACTTCCTTCTGTCCGTGTCGCGGACCATTATGTCATCGTAGAGTTGCCGCATCATTTGTGTAAAGTGAAGCGAATAGATCATACACAAACTCGCCGTCAGGCCAATTATTTGGACCTGGGCATTTAGAGCTCTCGATTGGACTTAGAAGTAAGATAAGTTCGATAACCAAGGAATGCAAGTTCGGGGCTCAGGTCCTGAAAATTTGGATTTGAGTAAGGCTTGCTGACGACGATGACGACGACGACGACGACGTCGACGACGACAACGACAACGACGACGACGACTACCTGACCAGACATGTCCATTCCAGTCTCCGTTGTCTCTGTCGGTAACCTCCTTCCAGCTTCTTCTCACCTAAGCCGGATCAATTTGTAATCCGGTCTGACAAGTCCACTTGTAAGCACTGTTAAGGCGTTGGATACGGGACGCTTGAACGGACTTCTCCACCTTGTTCAATTAGTCTAAAAGTTGCAGGACGTGACAACATCTTGAGATGTGCAATCCGATCACTCACGACCATGCGTTAAGATACATCGAGTACCCCCGATTCATGATAACCCTTCCCAGTAAATTGGCCGAGGGGACAATGATGATGATGAATTGTTAATTTCTTCATTTTCACGAAAGCATTCCCAGATATGCGCATAGTCAGGAGCGACATATATTTGCTCATTGGGAAGCTCACTCCTGTAGTTCGCTTCAGTTCACACAGTGACGTATTTCTTTGTGTAAATGTAGTTTACTCTTTCATTAGTCTCTGTAACTGAATGTTTTTCATGTAGGAGCACTCCGAACTGCTGTTTCATTAATTTGTCAGTTTAGAGTCTGACGTTCAAAGTTGCATCAGCCGCCATCTCCATCCGGTGATTGGAATGCCCACTATGGGAACTCCACACATCTCTTTCTGCTTGATCGGAGTCATATGTTATTGCACACGCGAGTGTCGTATCTACTCTCAGCGCTTGTAATAAGTTTGTTTGTTCATGGTACTGAACGTAATTTCCGGACTACTAGCCGTCATTTGTCAGCCCTACTCAATCCCAGGTTTGCCCGATTTGAGATTTGGACCAACAGTCTTTTGTCATCGTGCGTTATTACGTTCGACGCTTTAACCACTGCACCACACGCCTGTTGTCCTGTCGGCTGTGAATGGATAATATTGGCCATGGTAGAAGGGTGCTTACCGACAAGGTTACGGGACGAGCAGATTCCACGACTTTCTTGTGGCTTTTGAACGTGAAGCAGGCGCTCCTTTGGTGCAGTCATGTCAGAATTGCCATATTTGTTTAAATTCCAATTTTTTACCAGTATTCCATGTATGAGTAGCAATTGGCGTGTGCTACAGCCCATAAAAGTTTAACTCGTAATGGGATCATGAGTCGGAACGGCAATATATACAAGCAGTGTCAAGCATTTTGACGGTCTAAAATAGGCTTCGTGGTGTAATAAACCCGTCAGCGAAACACGTGTCTACAGTGAAATGAGAAATGTGGGATGTATCTACCGTCATTGTAAACTATACTGCAAGTTACGTGGTTATTCCACAAAATTGTTTTCGACTCGAGCTAGAAGTTTACTAGAAATTTGGACATGACGCGAAAACAGGATGCTTCGGGACGTCGTGTATCCAAGTCTCATAATGCATTCTGGCTCCAGGATTGCTTTCAAAGTCCGGAAGCGCGTCGGATAGGCATTCGAGAGTTTGACGCCAGTATCATGCCTCAACGAATAAAGGTCTCTTGGGACAAACCGAACCGGAGTTTACGCTAACGACGCTAACGCTGACTTTTTTACGAACCCGGCAAAACTTGCTGTTCAACGACCACAGTCCCGTCATCGACGACTGACATCGGTATTTAAGTGTTTCTGTAGGAAAATCAAGCTTCCTTTATACCAGAAAAGAACTAGATTAAAGGGCGATTTTTCCTCCCTCTAAATGGGACTGATCACGGAAATATGGATCGGCCGTATGAAAGGCGATCTTGGCCTAATTGCCATGAGGGATAGAATCGGGGTTAATGTTAGGGCTAAAGTTAGTGTTGGGTTTAGGTGGGCTAGGAGGGTGGGGTTTGGGTCTGTGACGGTCTATGGAAGAGTTCTGAGTTCATGTCAGGACACCGAAATATTAAACCTCCGGGAATTTAGCCTGAGACCACGTTTATTACCAGGGGAGTGGTCCGTATTCCCCTGTTCGACTCCAGAGTAAATCGTACGTTCACCTTACCTTATCTGTAAACGGTGCCACATCTGAAAAGACAACTTCAATATTGTTCAAATTCAAAGCTATGTACAAGGACCTTTCATTCTGCATTCATCACATTGTAGAACCGGTGATTGTACTATCGGAACTGCTGTGGAGCGAAGTGAGTAATAACTGAAGGATTTGCTTTATAATGTTTGCTTTGAAATGTAGACGCTCTGAAGGTTTGATTTAAAAGCGCTTTACTAGGCAATGCTTGACTGAAATTGGAACCTGTGGAACGTGTGTAAAGGCAATTTCATTTTCCCGAATATATGACTTATTTGCAATGTCATGAGTTGGAATTTCTGGTTCTCTGGCGTGTGTACTTGAAGGAAAATTCGTGACATTGACTGTGATAAGGAAGGTCAGGATGTTCCCTCACGCCCAGTTGGTCCGCTAATTCCCTTGTGTATGACAGCCTCTGATCGAGGGTTGGTAACGAAACTCAGATTCGCAAATAATTTTGACATATACAGTGGGTGACCGATCTCATGAAATGTTGACCGAAATTCAGAAATGCGTCTTTGATTAGAAAGGATCACTTAGGTACGGTTACAATATGAAATATTATCCGACATAATCCTTTAATGTTTCGGTTTTTGAATTCTTTCTTTTTGACTTCCTTTTGAAACACACTTGGCAGGAAATGAATACTTCAGTAGTATGTATGTTTCAAATTAATTTTGATGGTCGTATAAATTCTAATATATATATATATATTATAGAAAACATGCACAAAATATGCTTTCTTCTACTCGTTTGATGAAAATCATGTTCTATTTAATTTTTTTACTTGAAGAAAGAATATTTGAAAAAGTTTCTCTATGTCCGAATAATTTTGAGGTTGATCAGCCGTAGCATTTAGCGATTTCAGTTTACAAGGTGCGTGCTTTTAGCGTAAAGAAAATCATTTATTCCCCTATACCTTTAAAAATATACCCTGTAGGGATCACAAAATATTGCAAGGGATGCAGAATATGTTCTTCATCTTACGGGAAGCATTTGCAAACGGACTTGTGCGATGCTCTATGAATGGACGTTGCACGGTTTTAAAAATTTTATAAGTGAAAACTTGTTCAAGAGCTAAATATATTGTTTCTTCAGGCAAAAGAGCTAAAGAAAACGTGGGTCTCCATTAAACGAGTAAAATAATGCATATTCTGTGCATGTTTTCTATAAATATATTTGAATTTTTACGACCATTAAAAATCAATACGAAAAATGCATGCTACTTCAGTAGCCATTTTTTACCAAGTACGGTTTCTACAGGAGAATAATAAGTAGTGTATTCAAAGGCCGACATTCTGCCGAGTCCGAAATATTATAAGGTTATGCCACAATATAATCAATATTACGACCGCGACCAAGTAATCCTCCCTAATCAAAAACGCATTTTAGAATTTCGGTCAACATCTCATGAGATCGGTCACTCACTGGAGGAATAAACGCACCGGTTTTTGGCGATCTCTTTTGGGGGTCACCCTTGCAGTTCTAAAGGCGCGAGAAGAGCAATTGGTGCACACTCTGCAGAAGGCATGCCTTG